CACACACACACACACACACACACACACACACACACACACACACACACACACACACACACACACACACACACACATCTCCAAGTAAACCATCTCTCTAATACCAACTGACAAGACTTTCACAATCGTGCCAAATAGCATTTTAAATCAAGTCATGCAGATGTATTGCTGTAGTCAAATGACCAAGCCAAAATGAAGATGGGGTCACGGGTGGGTGGGCGGGGGAGGGACTCCATCGACATGGCAAAGAATCCAATTGGCTTTTTTTTTCACCTCAAAAACAACCAAAGCTGGGAAGGGTGGGGAAGTTGATGGCTGAGTGGGATGTGTGACTGGAGAATTAATCCTCGCCAAGCGTAGATAAAAACGGTTCGGGTAAAAAAACAACTACTCATACTCTGATAACCCTGCCACCTCTATAAATGGGAGGGTAGGGAAGCTGGTGGAGAGAGGCTCAAAGGGGGGAGGAGAAGATGAAAGGAAGACAAAAGTGAAGGAGAGAAGTGTGATATATCTTATAGTGCCATATAGCGCCTGGTGTCCAGCTGACAGCAATGACGGGGGAGGAAGGAGAAGAAAAGAGTGATCTTAGTCATAGGTCAAACTTCAAGGAACAATGTTGGAAAGGGCAACTATTTGAAAAGCACTTTAGCTCTGCAACAATGGATGAATTCCATGGGGACACACTGCACTTCCTACTGTTTTTCCCTTGGCTGGGTTTTAGTGAATTATGGTATGGACATCAGTGTGGGCTAAAAACACCCACATTTAAGATCACAGTCGCACACTCACTTTTATATATACTCTCAGACCTCTACACCTTGGAGAAGCTATAGAAGCAAAGTAGAATTACTTTCCATTCATTGCCAAACATCACCAGGCACAGTATACAGGAGCATCTTTCCTCTATTCAGGTTTGGCAGATTTCAGCCCCCCATCCACCTATGTCCTCTCTGGCTAATGATCTCCTATTTGGCTTGTTTTTTTTCGTGCAATTTCTCAAAAATAATAAATCTCTGATGAAAAACATTATAAATACACTGACCTGGCTTTGAACTCTAATTTCAAACTTCAAAGAGAGAAAGAAAGAAAGAAAGAGCGAAAGACAGAGTGAGAAGGAGCAGAGAGAGCAAGAGTAATAGGGAGGACTGTGTTTGTTTGCTTGCAGGTTTGTGCATTAACTGTGTGCCCGCATACAGCAGGGAGGAGGGGGGGGGGGGAGAGAGAGAGAGAGAGAGAGAGAGAGAGAGAGAGAGACAGAGAGAGAGAGACGCAGGCACTTCCTTAGTCCATGTGACAAGTTATTCAGCGCGGGGGGAAATGGAAGGGACCTTTGCATGATTAATCACTCACTCTTTCTATTACCGGTTATATTCAAATGCACCTATTATTGTAACTGTTGCCAATAGCCTATATTTTAATCTAGACAACATTGTGAATAGGTCTTCAAATGTTTCTATTGCATGGAACCTCCCAAATAAATGGGTTTGTGTGGGGCTGCAATTAAGGGCTACACATGTCAAGACTATTATCGATGAAAGTACTCCACGTGTGTTTTAAGCAGTTATTAACCAGTCAACTCCTAATGCTGTTGCGCTGGCTCTGCACCATTACAGTGTTGAATTGGAGGATGTGTCACCTTCAGGTTGCTGTAGAGATGCTTTAATTTGAGGTGAGAGGCTTTCATGCAGTTTAAAATCAGTCGTGGATGACTGATAATGGCTAAATTCATTCTTTTAGCAAAGAGTAGAGAGTTTGTTTTTTTAATGCCAAAAAAAACTATCTGCAATTGTGTGTATTTTTTCAAAGTATTGACCTTATACTACCAATGAACGTTAATACCAACGCAGGAAGTAGTGCCCTATGTTGACAGTCTCTAACCTTAACAATACGGTAGCTGCCATGCACAAATATTACAGAAAGCAAACATTTCATTTGACATTGAACGTGACAAAATGTAGTCCGGGTTCTGCAGAATCATCCAAAACTGAGGTTCATGTCTGGAAGAATGTAATCACCCTGTATGAACAAGACAGCTGGTCTAAATCCTGCATGCATATGCATGGCTGTC